TTTTTTTTTTTTTTTTTGAATGAAACTATTGCAACTGACTTTAGCTGATTTTTGTCACCTGTCTCATACATTCCTAGCTCTCCTGTATAACCATAGTAGTATTACCAGCCTGGGCTATTTTTAGCTGAACAATAAACAAGCTCTTTGAAGATCTTCAATAATTACAAGCCAAATATCAACTGCAAAACAAAGCAGAGGAAAATTGACAATATTAGTAAAACAAAGAAAACTGAAGCAGCCCTTGGACACTGTGCCACCTGAAGGTTATCCCTGAGGCCTAACTTTAAACTTGCAATGGAAATCTTGAAGGAGGTAAAAGTATCAAAAAAGAAATTAACTGTAGGCCAAGCAAAGGTAGAAAAATGCACAATCCCTGTTTATTTAATGCTTCTGGCAGTAGAGGTACTATAAAAGCTTCCTTAAATGCTTATAGGCCCTGATACTGACTGGATCCTGCAGATGATACCTAAATACAACTGCAAAACAGTAATAGCTTAATGGGGTTGTTAGACAAGGTACTGAAGAGACCTGCATCCAGATCCTTAATTCCTGCTCATTACCTGAGGAGATACTTTCCTTCCTTCCTAGGCCACAGTGAAAGCTGTTGGTTCTACTTAAAATAAAAATATAATGCTGAAGGATGCTCTCCAAAGGATGTAAACTACTGTAACACTTCTACCATACGGAAAGCTTCATTTTCCCCATTTTAAAACAGATACTGCAGCTACCCTCTTTCCTGAGGCGTGGACTAAAAGAAAGGAAGCCACTAAACAGGTATCATTGCTGCTTTACAAAATGCTATAATTGTTCTAAGTTTTCACTAGCTCAGTTTAATCCAACATAAATGTTTTTGGTATAACAGGGTTACAGCTCACACATAATATCATAAACATAATCTTCAAGACCACGAAATGCCTCATAAACCTCTTTGTGACCAAAAAAGGGAGAACTAAGTGTCACAGGTCACCTCAGTACTCTGCTCCTATAAAGAGGTACAGGTGCTGGTTGCCGGGGCAACTGCAGTTGGTCAGCTGACTGGAAGGGGGCAGGGCCTGACCTATATATATAATCCAGGCTGAGGCCAGGGGGGGCAGTTCTCTGCTAGCAGCCAAGGGAGAAGTATCTCTGGTGGAGCAAGCAGAGTAGAGAAGCCTGATGGCCTGAGCAGCTTCTGTTCTAGGATACCGGGTGGAGAATACCTTGGTAGGGATTTGAATGATGGTTAGCCAGATGGCTTAGACTTTATGTTATAGCCCAGGGGCTTGAGTTTTCTGTTTGTAGTTTTATAAGACCAGAGGACCGAGTGAGGCTATTAGGGGTTGGAGGAGGCCTCATAGGGGCTCCACGGTAGTGTGGGGACCCCGGTGCCAGAGAGGGCACAATATTCAGGGATGTACTGACCCCAGCCCCGAGAAGGGGCTCAGAAGATTGGGGGCCAGGTAAGGCCGAGGCCGCCTGAGCCCCACAGGAAATTTTAAGACCTGAGAAGGGGATTTGGGGGCCAGGCACGGCTACAGCCACCTGAATCCCAATTGCAAGAAGCCCCAGAATGGGCATGTGCGAGAAGCCCCAGAGCGGGTATTTGCTTTAAGACCTGAGGAGGGGATTTGGAGGCCAGGCACGGCTATGGCCACCTGAGCCCCAATTGCGAGAAGCCCCAGAGTGGGCAGTGCGTGACAAGCCAGGGAGCGCCAGTGAGGACGCAGGCTGCGTGACAAGCCAGGGAGCACCAGTGAGGGTGTGGAAAGGGAAATTGACCAAACAACGTCCGGGACATCTGCGAGGCTTGGGGCGTGGTACAGGGGTGGATGGAGCCACGCATAGCCCATAAGGCTGGGGTGCACCGAGTCAGACAATACAGAACTGGGGCCAGGATAAACCAGAGCACCGTGTCCAAGGGGACAAAAGGCAGCCTCCCTTATAAAATATATAACTTCAGAGACGCGGCGGGTGAGAACGAGGGTGCTTTATCTCAAACTTGACACAGTAAGGGACATTAGGAGAAATCACGGCCGCTCCTAGTGTCACGGTGCGGGGTCCTAAGTACCATCAGAAAACAGTTTCACATGGTTTCTTTAACATGAGACTGAGGCCATTTCTGATTATGGTAGGATAGATGTCACTATGTGCCAGATGTAATCCATACACTTTGGAGGCTGATCCCTGTTCAGAAGAGCAAATATGAAATGTATGCAGGATGGGAAGAGCCATCATTAAGCAGCTAGCATACTGAGACCACTAG